TCCTCCTCCTGCTGCTCCTCCTCCTCCTCTCTTTGTCCCCCGCTGAGCCAGAGCCATAGCCATAGCCATATCAAAAGAAAAAAAATATATATATCTTAAATCTTCTTCTTCTTCCTCTACCTCGCCCCTGTAGGCATAGAGAAGACGTCCCATAGTGTGGCATTCTGGGCCACACGGGCCCCAGTTAGGGCCCGGTTCCAGGTAGGCTGGGTAAGCCTAAGGGGGACGACGGTTCAGATAAGGCTTAGGTAGGCCAGGGGTACGTCGGTTCACGCGGGCCTGGAAAAGAGGTCCAGGCCAAACGGCCACAAGGCCGGTACCGGTCCAGCATAGGACCTACCGGCAGCGCAGTTTCAGAGGTTGCCAATTTAGGCGCCAAATCCAGTTCAAAACTGGACCGTTGATTCAGATCAACGGTCCAGGCCGGTAGGTACCAGCAGGTAGGAGGCCGGCCCAATACTACAAAAGGCTGGGTACCAGCCTCAGCGGTAGGTTAGTACGGACTGGAGGTTAGGCTTCAGGATTAGCGCAGCGGTTCAGCGTTAACTCGATTAGCGCAGCGCTGCAGCACAGCAAGGAGCAGCGAGAGAGCAGGAGTTTAGCGGCGAGAGGATTAGCGCAGCACTGGGCGCAGCGCCAGTTACCGGCCCAGCCCCCTTGCAGCGCCATAGCCACTGTGCCAGGTACCAGGGAGGAAGGCTTCGCCTTCCCTCCCTCATCTCCTCCACCGCTCCTCTCTCTCCTCTCTCTCTCTCTCTCTCTCTCTCTCTCCTACCTTCTCAGTCTAAGTTTAATTCTGGGTTCTCCTACGGGACTACTGCAGTATGAAGGATGGTTACGAATTCTGATAACATTGGGAACAGCAACATTGGGACTACGAGTTGAGGACTACTTGGGGATCTGATTTCATCTTCCTTCTGAAGATGTACTTGACATAGTGAGATCGATATCTGAGATATTGTGAGACTTGGCATTCGCGACATTTCGGATTTCTGTCACTTCTGACATTTCAAGATACTATCTTTGGAAACATTGAGTTGACGTCCTCTTCCCTCTCCTCCTCCTTTCGTCTCTCTCCTCTCTCCCTTCGTCGGTGGATGATCTCAGTCCCTGGCCTTTCGTCTATGTCTGAGCCCAGGGCATTCACACCCCTGATGAATGTTTGAGAGTGTTCGATTGCAGTCCGAGTCAGTCCAAGGTATCCCAAGGCTTCCGCTTGCATTTGTATTAACTCTGTATTATCTGGTCGGTTCTGGGAATCTGCACCATACTTATGACTGTCTTTCACGAGTATGCAACAGTTTGGTATCAGAGCAGACAGGCATTGGATGACTCACCATTGATTGATTGATTGATTATCTAAAACCTGCACTCTGTTATCATCGAATCGCAAGTTGCAAAATTTCTTTTCTCGTACTTTCATAGTAATTAGGTCGCTAAAGTATCATTTTAGGTTTGCGACTTTTCTCCATATTGCGCAATTAGGGAATCGCTAATTATGAGTAAACTAATTAGCACTAATTAGGGTTAGTCCTAACCTAATCTACACGGCCTATACAACCTATTCGAAGTAAGTGCCAGTCAGGCACCGCGCCGGTCACGGCAGATCGGGCCTGAGCACGGCCACATTCAAACTGCAACTTCACGGAACTTTCACTTTTTGCAAACTGCATCTTTTTTTGTGTTTGAAAGGTTGAATCTTTCCGGCAAATTGTGTATCTTCCTACTACCATTCATCTCTCTAATACCCTAAAGGAAAACGCGGGTCTCACGTGACGGGCCCACGTGAGACACCGCTGCTGGTGGCAGGGTCCCAGATGTGGGAGATGCGAGACCCGCGGCCGCTGCCAGGGCCCCACACGCGAGACCGGTTGCGGACCGGTATCGTGGTACGAATCAGTCGTCCCGGTCTTCGTCGGACCCCGTCTTTTTTCGCGCCGCGATTGGGTCGGCCCGGTGTGCGCCGGGTCCCGTCTTTACCCGAGTGGCGCAACCGTTTGGAGGAGTCGGTCGGAGGGCGGCCTGGGGGCGCACGGGGACAGGGGGTGCAGCGGGACGCAGGGCAACGGCGGGTTCATGCGGGTAGCGTTACTAGACGAGCCGCGGCGCCTGTCGGGGTTGTGCGGGGACGCGTCGTGTGGTGGGACGTCGTGTGTGTGTGTGTGTGTGTGTGTGTGTGTGTGTACTGTCTCTTATACACATCTAGATGTGTATAAGAGACAGCTCCTCCTCCTCCTCCTGCTCCTCCTCCTCCTGCTCCTCCTCCTCCTCCTCCTTCTCCTCCTCCTCCTCCTCCTCCTGCTGCTGCTCCTCCTCCTCCTCCTGCTGCTCCTCCTCCTCCTCTCTTTGTCCCCCGCTGAGCCAGAGCCATAGCCATAGCCATATCAAAAGAAAAAAAATATATATATC